TGAAGAGACTTTCTTATTAGATGCTTCCTAAATCATTTGTCATGTTCCTATCTGCTTATTTTGGCAATCCTTTTGGTGGTTAAAGTCATAGAGGGGTTTTCTAATGCTGTTTCTTGTCTCTAAGAAAAGCTAATAGAGTATCACCAGAGTCCCAAACAGAGGTATGGGCTCTGTAGGGAGACAGCAGAGTTAACTTCTTACCTTTAGAGAAATCACATTGAGGACCTCACCTTGGTGGCTGTGATGGGTGAGGGTTAGTCCCTGGGCCGTAGAACTATGCTAGCTTCTTGGACAAATGCCAGAAGCAACCCAAAGGAGGATGCTAGAGGGGTTCCCCTTGTCTTTCTATCTGTTAGATCTGTCCTTAAACAAAAGTACATATCCAGAGGGGAGTTGTGAGTTAGCATCAGTCTTTGTCAGGTCTTTAACAGTTTCTTTTCTGGGACATCCGTTAGAAAGAATGGGGGAGCAGACCACTTACCTTTAGTTGAAAGTGCCCATTGGGATCTTGTCAAAAATCCTCTAGGATTCCTTGAATTTCTTCACCATTGGGTATGTGTTTTGGACTTGATGAGGGTGGGACCACAAAAGAAGGTGGGCTCTATTAACAAAGAGACAAGAAGGGGAAATAAGATACCCCATGGAGGTTCTGTCACTTCGGTTTTCCCAAAGTTTCTGATAAGGTTTAAACAGGGGCTGGAGCTGTAGTGAAGTATCTCAGGAGGGTAGACATTTGTTGGCAATGGGAGGGTTATGGAGTGGCTGGTGGCAGGGTTATGGAGTGGCTGGTGGCAGGGTTATACGGTGGTGATGGGAGGGTTATACAGCGTCTGATTGGAGGGTTATACGGTGGTGATGGGAGGGTTATACAGCGTCTGATTGGAGGGTTATACGGTGGTGATGGGAGGGTTATACAGCGTCTGATTGGAGGGTTATACGGTGGTGATGGGAGGGTTATGCAGCGTCTGATTGGAGGGTTATACCGTGGTGATGGGAGGGTTATACAGCGTCTGATTGGAGGGTTATACCGTGGTGATGGGAGGGTTATACAGCGTCTGATTGGAGGGTTATACAGCGTCTGATTGGAGGGTTATAAAGTGGTGATAGGAGGGTTGTACAATGACTGAGGGGAGGGTTATAAAGTGGTGATAGGAGGGTTATGCAGTGGATGATGGAAGGGTTTACATGCAGTGCTTATGACTGTTGAAGTCAGTAATGAAGAAGGACTATGAGTTGAAATAAATGTACAGAAAATCTAAAACTGGAAAATGGAGGAAGTTCTGAGTCCACATTATTGTTTCAGTATTACTTGGGCGCCAAGGAAGCTATTTGCAAACACTATCAAATAGAGAAAGCCAATTATGAAACACAAAGAAATCTCTGTGGGCATAGCCCTGATTCAGGGAAAGTGGGCTGCAATCCAGTGGGTATGAATTTAACTTTCCAGTTGCACTCTGCATGACATATCCCAGTTTTCACACTTTTGTACCTTACACATTTCTGCTATGCTCAGCCTACCTTTCAAGGTTCATCCTGATGTCTCCACTTCTGGGCTTTTTTCAGGACTCTCAGTTGGACTTCACCCCTTTCCTCTCTGAGTTCCATTGGTTTATAATCTGTTACTACATGTCACTTGAAACACAAAACCAAACAATAAATATCTGCCTATCACACACATGCAAATGTAAATTCTCAAAGGTAGGACCCTTATTTATGGCTGTGTTGTTGACTCACATCTGTTCTGATGATGGAAGGACTGAGGTGTGCATTCCCTGCTTCCCTGCACCTCCTCCTACAGCGCCTGCTGTCTATAATCCCAGCCACTTTTTCCCTGGCTGGAATTGTCTCTGGGTTAATCAGATTAACGGGTTATGCAGTAGGCTCACCTGACTGACTCTTCTTGCCCTGGCGTTCTGGGCAGTGACCCGCTCTATGCTGGTACACGGTGCTCCTGGCTAGGTGTACTTACAGCAGGAGACACTATTTACTTTTAGTTCCAACTCCAGCATTCTCACTTTGATCTCTGTGGCCCGCCCCACCTCGCCCCTACCATTGTCCTGTCCTGGGAGCTAATGTTGCTCCTTTCCTAACTCAGGTGGCCACATAACTCTGGCTGTTCTGAGAGGATGCCCAGGAACTCAGTCATGCTGGAGAGCCACTGTAAATAGATTACCGGGGCTCTGCCCCTAAGGGCTCCAATCTGGACCATTTGCTGCTTTTTCCTCCCACATTCAGTTGCTTCTTTTTTATCTGCTTTGTTTTCTTGTCACCTTAGTGATAACAGATAAACTATGATGTAAGAGATTGTGAATTTTGATAAAGGCTGGATTTCTATGTTGACTAAATCTGTCAGAGAAGTAAACAAGTAATGGTTTTATGTTTATATCCTGAAGGCAGACTGCTTAGAATTTAACAGTGTTCTTCCCCTTACTAGTTGTGGCTAGCTGTCTCAGTCAAATGGGATCATACCAATGCCTACCCTGTTCATTCATTCACAAATAGTTGAGCCCCCAGCAGGTGAGGAGCTCTTCTAGGTGACAGAAAAGTGGTAATAGAGAAGATTTTAAAAATGGGTTAATATTTAAAATGCTTAGAGCAATGCACACTGTTGGCATTTAGTAAACATAATGGTATTGCTAGTACTTTTCTAAGACTAGATATGTGAGAAGGATAGCCACTAGAAATTACAGGACCAGATCTCTCTGAGAAGGGGAGAATAGAGGAGGGGCCAAGATTAGGTTCTAGACTTGGATTTAGGTCCAGGGTAGCCATGGCTTGAATGGCTTTTACTTCTAGCACTTCATGAGGTGGATAAAGAGCAGCCCAGAAAATGAGTCTGTTTCCTTCCATATAAAGAGCAGGAGTCAGTGACCCTGGGCTGCCTGTATTCTTCCAAGCCTATTTGTGCAGACTGTGCTGTGCCTTCTAAGTTGTATGTGAATGACCCAAGAGGAGATACAGTTCTTGAGCAAAGAACCCAGACACTGAAGAAACGAGAGCATCTTTTGGTCTCTTTCTGCAGGGTCTGCTGTCCATCTAGCAGAGGGCTATATTTTAGGAGAGTAACACTTAGTATTAGTAAAGAGAGGTGGAGCAGAGGCACTGTGGCCTGCTGTTTGCCTCCAGCTTCAGGTCACTCCTCAGGGAGTGTAGCTGAAGATGGCTCATATGATGACTCTTTGGGATTACTGCTGGAGGCAAAGTTTAGCCTCCAGACTTCCTGATTCATTGTCTGTGGTTTCCAGTGAAAGTCCAAGCCTTATTGAAACCTGGGTTATATTGCAATAAAATGAAAGAGAGTCCAAGCCTGGGGTAATCTGCATGGAGGTGAGGTTAGTGTAAGATGGATGTTTTTATCCCCTGTGGATCCACAGATTCTTTAACCTCTATCCCATCAAGGAGGCTAACGAGAACTCCAGTGATCCAGCAGCCACCCCACTGTGTCCCACAAGTTCTCTGTTTTGTTCTTTCCCCCACAGTGGCCTTCAGAAATGATGTCAGGCTGAGGGTGTAGCGTCCTTGGTAGAGCATTCACCTAGCATGTGTGAAGCCTTGGGTTTGATGCCCAGCACCATAAAGAACAAAGTTCTTATAGCAGAAAAGGTATTTGACATGAGCCATTGTGTGCAGACTGACGATTTTAGGATTGGTTCTCATGTAGGCTTCTGACCTAACTATTCTCCTGGACCTGCTAAATGGGGCTGGGAACCATCATAGTTGGCATGCCTAGGGACAGACAGAATACTTTCTGGACTCATTCCAGGACTCTGAGGTACAGATGATTTGGGACCTGAGGGTACAGACACCATACCCTCATTACATTGTTATTGCATTTAGTTCAGTCTTCAGCTATTCTTTCAGTTCAGTTTAGCTGAAAAGAGAGGTAGGCAAAGTGCATTGCTGCGAATGAAAGTTCACCATTCATCCCGTGGCAAAGGTAATGTAGTTAAAACAGTTTCTCTGCTTTCATGTCATTATCATCTCCTTAAGGAATCTTCAACTCTTTCCTAATCACCCTCTCAGGAAGTTATACTTCCACAGATATAGCAAAAGTCTGTTTCTGGAGCCTGTAAGATGGCTCAGTAGATAAAGGCCTTGACTGTGAAGGCTTATGACCTGAGTTTCATCCCAGAGCCCATGTGATGGAAGAAGAGAACCACTTCCCATAGGTTGTCTTCTAACCTCTGCGTATGTTTGCATGTATGCATAAATAAATTAACGCAAAGATAACATCTAATGTACTATATGTGTCACTATGTTAATGTACTATATAAGAGGAACTTTATTCACTCCTCAAAACACTTCTCACCCCCTTGGGAGAAGTATCATCCCACTGAGAGGATTGTGGAGTGTAGTAAGCACAGTTGGATTACAAATCCAGCGCATAAGATGGTAGGTGGATCTCCAAAGCTCTGTCACTGTTCTTTCCAGCACTGACAAACATCATGCCACCGGAATTTTTTTTGTTTCTCAATCTGTTATCCCTATTTTGCTCCCTTCCTGCATCTGTATTTCACTCTTTTTCTCATTCTACTGTGGAAGTTCAGGAGGAAACTTAGTTAAGACTGCAAGCCATCCAGCTCAGGGATGCTTAGAATGAACAATTTCTTTTGTGTGTGGAGGTGCTGCTGGGAATTGAACCCAGGGGCTTGTATGTGCTAGGTAAGCACTCCATCAATGAACTGTACCCCCATCCCAGAAAGATGGTTTCCTAAAACAGCCCCCCCAAGAGGTCATCTCTTAAGAAGAAAGAGGCCAGAGACCTGAGCAGTGTTCACAGGAAAGCACAGTTGACTTCATGACAAGTGACCTTTCAGAGGAGAGTGTCTTTCACAGGAGACCTCTGTGCCAGCAGGCCAGCAGGCTTTCAATGGAAGCCCTTTATCGGATCATACTTCTCCATTCAGATTTGTTTGGGGGTAATGGCAGTTCTGTTAGTGGGATGTACCCCTCTTTTTCTCTAGCCAGGCAGACCAACGACAATGTCACCTTTCCTCTAGAAATTGCCAGAGGCATGCTCTGTCCGTGACGGAAGGCCATTTGCCATGAATCTGCAGAGTCTGTATGTGGCAGTCACCAAACAGCAGATCCAAGCAGGGCAGAAGCGGCAAGGCTCTGGTGAGTATTTCTAGTCACAGCTGTTTGCTTGGGGTAGAATTGCAGCTTAAGTCTGTGCTGTTGGATTTAGCAGTTCTACCCATATAATCTATTTACATTTCAATTAATAAAAACTAAATAAAATTAAAAATTCATTTCCTTGTATACTTTAGCCATATTTCGAGTACTCAGTAGCCATGTGGCCAGTGCAGATACAGAACACATACCTCACCACAGAGCATTCTCACAGCTAGCCAGCCTGGATGCTTAGGAGTTATCAAGAGAACTAGCCAGAAAATTAATCCAGGGGATGCATAGAAATCTGTTCACCTTTTGTGAATCAAGGAAACTCAACCTACGTGCTGAAAGTGGGTTTTGAGTCTTCGTAGGAACAGAGCTTGCTCTGGAAGCTGGCTCCTTCAATCTGTTAATCTGTTAATAGCAAACTCTGCCCTTCGTCCGAATGCTCTGTGAGTGCGTCTGTCCTCCTGAGCTCAGGCATTTCTCTGCCTTCCGTTGATCTTTCTGACTTCAGGAGAGCCTCAGACATCATGCAGCACCTCCCCTCGAGGAACTGATAGCCAGCTTCTGGACCAGCCAGAACAGCCAGTCTCTTCTACTCCAGCCCTCTCAGAGCCTGAACATGAGCCCATGGTGAGTCACACATGAGCAGCTTCCTGGGCAGCTATCTGAATGCTGGAGAAGTTGGCACCTGTTACCTCGCAGCCATGGTCTCAGCAGTTGCTGCTCTGTTGGCACAGCCTTGATAGTGTGAGAGAGCCTGTGAGCTGCTGTCAAATTGTAGAGCACCACGCTTTCCCACAGCCTCCCTTGCCACCTCCTGACATTCTTGGACCAAATGATGAACCAGGACTCCCTTTGTACCTTACTCTACTTCCGGTGAGGGTCCATGAGAGACATGCCCACTTAGAATTTTATAGCACTTCCTAAAACAGACTTCAAAACATCTACATCAGATTCTTTAAAAAGGGATTCAGACCAACCAGGAGCCAAGAGAAATCTGTTTCAAAACTTCAGTTAACTGGGATTCTTTTTCCTTTTCCTCTAGGGTGCTTCAGGTACTATGCAGAGACCTCAGCTGGCAAAGGCCAAGAGGAAGAAGCCAAGAGGACTCTTCAGTTAACTTGCCATGTCTCTGCCACTGAGAAGGGAGCAGAACAGCTTCCCAGTATCGTCTGGAAAGGAGCTGGCATGGCAGAGCATCCCTCAAAGGATGGAGCTGCATTCAGAGGCCACCTGAATGGGAACTTCCTCTCTGGCGGAAGCTTGGCTCTGGCTCCAACTCTCTGACACTGCCATTCCATATATGAGTGAAGCCAGCTCCTCATTCGGTGGCATTCTTTCTGTAGAACTAGTACCCTCTGGTGAACTTAGATAAAGCAAGTCTGTAAAGAGGCCCATGCCCAAGATACCTGTCTGCTTTTCACAAGGGCCCCTCAGTTCCACGTGCCCTTAGAAACTCTCTTGTCTCCTACCACAGAATAAAGGGCACTCACACTGCCCTGCTGTTGAGGTTACCTGCTTGTGGTCTGTAACCTTTTCACACCCACAGTCCCTTGTTATCGCTAGGTCACATTTAGCTGTCAGTCCCTTCCTACAGATTTTTTTGTCAGCTTCTCTGATGTGGCCCGAGGTCAGTCACAACTAGAAACCTTGATCTTGAGAACTCTCCATGGTGGCACAAGACAGATTGCTGTTCTCTGTCAAGCTTGGGTGTGTTTTTTGTATCTCCTTTCTAAAGGGTAGAGTACAGGTTAAACCATAGTGTCAGGTACAAATTACAAATGGCTTCAAGTACTAGGGCTAAAGTTTGGTCCCAGGGATGGAAGAAAAGGAAATGTGTGTGTGCGTATGTGTGTGGTCTTTGTCTTTCTACAGCCCCACCCCATAGCCCAAGATAGGATCTCACTGTATAGCCCTGATGGCCTGGAACTCACTATGTAGAGTAGGCTGTCCTGTGAATTCAGAGGTCTGGCTTGAACAATATACAGGGGGATGGCTTTGAACGTCTGGTCCTTCTGCCTACACTTAAGTGCTAGGATTATAAGAGTGTGCCACCACTGGTTTATACAGTGCTGGAGATCAAGTCCAGAGCTTCCTGTGTGCTAAGCAAGTTACTCTACCCAGTAGTCTACACCCCTAAATTTGACTTTTCTCTCTTCACTTTAAATAATGTATGGCTATGATGCTAAGGAACAGGAGCCTCAGGATTCCCTAGAACAGAACTGGTATCTAGCAGTGTCTAGTTGGAAGCTGTATTAAGGCTAGCAAGGCCCTAGAAGATTGCAGTGACTTCAAGGCCAGCTTGGGCCACAGAGTAAGATCTTGTCTGAGACTAAGAAAAGGCTGTGTACGACAGGCAGAACCCAAAAGTCAGTCTCGGGCACCCAGGCTTATCTGCACAGTGCCTTGACCTTCTCTTCGTCTATAGTAAGGCCATCTGAAACTTGAACTTGGATGCAAAGTGAACTCAGATGTTCCCGGAAACACTTAGGTAGAGGGAGAAGGCAGATGCAGAAGCCATCTTGGTTTGCTTGCTTTGGAGGGCTTCCTCGTCTGTGTCTCCTCCCTCTCTCCCTGAAACTGATGTCTCTGCCCAGACATTAGTCCATGGAGACAGGGTCATACAAGCCATGCTAATGTACTGATTATTATAACAGTTAGAACATCAATAAATGGCTAGTTTTTATTGAGCAGTTCATGTACCAGTAGTCTGTCTAAATGAGTGAGCATCTTACAGCATTACCTGCAAATGGCAACAGTAACCCATTAGGAAACCTAGTCTTGAAGTGATTGATATTAAAAGTCATTAGTAAGCTAGTCAGCTAGTCACAGCTTGACTAAAAATATTTCCAGGAAGATTTTCCTTCCTCTCTCAGTCTTCCACAGCTTACACCTCTGTCCTGGACCCTGCCTCCAAGCAGGCTGCTCTCCTCCATGCAGACTCACCAAGGCAGGAGACCCTGAGGATGCTAGGACTTTCTGCTGGCTGTACGTGCGCCTACTGTTGCTCACTTTACCTTTGAGCCACACCACAGATGTCACCACAGTGAAGCTCTGTGTCCTATGCTGGCAAATCCTTCTGCCCAAATGGCAACCTCAAGCAGGCATTCTTAATCATAAATCTCCTACAACTGCAAGGAAAATTCCCCAAACATAACTGTTCCTCTTCTCATGAGATTGTGGGGTCCTGTCAAAAGAGTATGCATAGTCACCTTCCAGGCCACTGTGTATGTATTCCTAAAGGCTGCTCCTGCCTTGGGGGCATTGCTCAAATGCATTTGTTAGGGAAGCATTACTGCCAGAGGCCCTGGCTCAGGCGTCACTGAAGCCCTTACCCCTGAGCTAGGGTGGTGTTTGAGAATCATTCATCCCAGGGCAACTCCAGGGAAATCCCCGTTTTGACAAATTGGCCTAACCAGGCTCTCTTCCAGCCCTGCCCCCTGGCTTGGGCCCCTCCCTGAGGTCCCCAGCCTGGCCCAACCCCCACTCCCCATGCACATAAAAGGGTCGAATTCTCGTGGCTGCTCCATAAATTTTATTCCGTAAATATTAGTTTTCCCTGTGTTTAATAAAGCAGTGGCCCACCTCCCCGCCTACCCGCCCGCTCCCCGGGGCCGGGGCTGGGGCCAGGGCTGGCTGGTGGGAGAAGGGACTCTTTCAATTGCTTTGGAGTATTTTTAGAAAAAAAAATAATATAAGGTGGTTTACACGAGCAAGCCAGCAAGCTAGGAGCGGAGCTTGGGACCTCGAGGAAGTTCCTGCAGCTACTGGACCTAAAAAGTAGGGAAACAGCGCCACCTAGGTTGCAAGACCTACTTGGCCTTGCTGGTTGATTCCCTGGAGTCAGCAAGGGACCAGCACTGGTCACTCCTTGCTGAAGGAAATGTCCTCTCTGTAATCCAACTGGGTAGTACTCCTTTACCTGGTGTCTCATGGGGTTTCTCAGCGGCCCTTCCAAGCAGATCCCAAGCTGGGTCCTGGAAAATCCCACCAGCATCGTTCCTTTTTCTTGATACCAGGAGTCAGCCTCCTGATCCAGGAGTGTTTCCAAGGTAGAGTGAAGTAACTGAGAAGGAGGGAGCCACCTTACCTTCATCTTCCCTGGAATTCCTAGATCCCAAGGTGGCAGAGAGAGAGAGGTCTGTGCTTCCGTGCTTCAGACTGGCAGAGTTCAGCCTGGCTAGACCAAGATCTTTGAGGGAGGGCTGCAGGGCTCATCCCGGAGCTCTGGGGGAAGGACACTCCATGTTCATTTAAACCTCCCCTCATTTCCCAAGCCCTTATGGCCAGGTGGAACCCATCAGGAGGGTCACTGGGGCCCCTGTGTATGCTGCAAAGATAGTACTGGGGATGGGAGGTGCGAGGAATTGCATCTCTCCTCCTACCTAGCCCTGGATTCCTTCTCCATCATTCCTGATGTGCCTGATGTTGCCAGGGACAACATTCCTTCTCTCCACTTACTTTGTACTTTCTTTTCTCCTACTCTCAGAACTGTAAAGATTTGCTCCACAGAGTTTAGGGGGACCCTAACTCCTCTAATGATGTCGTCCTGATGTGAGCTAACCTCTGCTAACCCCATCACCACGGCATTATTAATGTAACCTGTGTCAACAGACACCTTTCTAGTGTGCGTTGTTTTCCTCTTTTCATGTGAGAGGAGCTTTTGACTCTAACTGGAAACTGTCACTGTGATGATATTATAGTGAGTACTAAAGGTCTAACTATGGTGACAGTTTTTTAAGCAATCAGAATGTATTTTTCTAAGTTCTGCTCTGAGTAATTTGTCTTTTGTAATATTCTTAGGGGTGGGAGGAACCTGTTCAAAAGGAGTAAGTGACATACTGTAAGGAAGCTATCAACCATGGTTACTAGCCCCTGTTACCTGGAAAAGTTAGAACAGATTATAGTAGGCTCTCAGACACAGGAGAAACCTCAAGCAGGGAGGAAGTTGCTTTTGTGGAGGGGTCCCTAGTTGCTGACCCCAAGAATACTATATGATACTCAAGTCCGAGTTTCTTTGTTGCTCTTGGTCCCTTCCTTAGTCCACTGCCCTGGGCCTCAGAAGATGCTCCTTAAGGGAAAACATTGAGAGGAGGGGGTGTGAGGCTGCTTGTCTGTGTGTGAGGGGTGGGGACCCCAGGGAATCCTGGAGAAGCTCCAGCCACCACCTTTTCTTTAATCTCAGAGCGCTTTAAGGAAGAACTTCGCACAGAGATGCTGTCTTTATGGCAGGTCTTTATGTATCCTTCCAATTCTGTGGTTCTCACTTCTCTACCCTGGCACGTGGGATGTCAGTTGATGGTACCAAAGCACTTCACCAAATGCTTACTCCCTTTTGTGGGCCTGGTAAGAACCACACTCCCAGTTTTTCTGTCTGCTTTCCACAACCTTGGACCCCCATGAATGAGTGCTGGCCTCTGGGCTCCCGACTCTCATGGAGTTCTGAGAATCAGACCAACCTACCAGGGGAACCCGGAAGAGGCATTGAAAGAGCTCCAGGGTGTGGGGAGCACACAGCCATTGACTCACCTGGGAAGATTGTGCCAGGATTACTTGTCCCCTGGGCCAAGGGCCAGTAGTTAAAGGATCATGCAGTGCCACTCTACCTCCTTGAACTTTGGGGCCCCAAACAGCAGCAGAGCTGGGGACCTGGGGAGTAGAACCTGGGGCTTCTAGGAGTCTCTTCTGAAATCTGGGTGTTATATTTGCTTTTTCACATTGGCAGCTGAAAGGGGAAGCCCATCCCAGCCCAGCATTGTTGTCTGACATGGTTAATCAGATCCTATAATCCTGCTGTGGAAATATTGGGCCTCACTCAAAACAATAGAGACCAAGAATATTGTGGTTAAATTTCAACCAACTGCCTCCCTGGCCTGTTTGCCTAACCCCTACCCCCCTCTCTCGGGCCAGAGTCCTCCCGGCTTTATGGACCCCTGATAGGATCGACAGCCTGGTCAGACATAGGTGACAGGATAGGGCAGAATGCAGTAGGGGAGACACCGTCCTCTTGACTGCCATTCCATCCTTCTTTCCCTCCCTCCCCAGACCTTGAATGGTGGCCAGGAGTGATAAGAGGTGTCAAGACCAGTACTTCTTGGAATCTTAGGTGGTAAAGAAATTCTATATTCAAGGCATGAGCAGGAAAGACTTCTGATCTCATCACTGCCATCTGATGCTCCCAGGGCACAGAGCAGGACCAGTTGGTCTTGCACCAGTCATGGGAGGAATGAGAAGACACTGGTTGGGAAGGTGGAGTGTTAATAACCCAATAGGACAGCAGACTTAGTGGCAATACCCCGAAGATCTGTGGAGGTGATACTCAGGACAGCTTGAGTGGTTTCATGGTGGTGGCTAGCTCCATTGTGTTACCGACTTTGACAGCTGTGAATTAAATGTAGCAAGATAATTTAAATAATTATTATATCAATCCAAAAGAATAAATCTTGGAGGAGGAGGAGGAGGAGGAGGAAGAGTTAAAGACGCAGTGCCTGGATTATGATATGTTCATCAAGAG